CCAATTCGCAATTCCCAAATCCATTCCCACTATGCGCTGGGCGCTGCGTTTTACTTTTTTTTTTTAATATTCGGTATTACGGTATACTGGTATATCGTCGATAATTACCGCCTATTATTTGGTATTGCCGAATGGAAAATTACACCCCGAATACTGATACCGCTGATATTCGGTATACTGTATACCGTCGGTATCCGATACGGTATCCATTAATACAGAACATCAGTTTACCGATTACCACCTCTAACCCTCAAAGTCTGCGGACCTCATGGATTTATTCTTACTAAATCCATCAAGCAAGGATTGTGACGAATTCCATGAAGCAAACGATGCCTAATAAGTGATTTTGTGTGCTTCCACTTGTTGAGTTGCGATTTGCCACAAGATCCCAAATTTCTAATGAGAATTGACTACTATATTCTCATATTATTAATACCAATTCTCCCTTATGAATCTATTTCCCAAAATAATTATTCAGCCCAATTGTACATAAGACTTGCATTTTTAGACCACTCAAACTGTATGAATCCCCAATTGACCGTGGTATTCATTTCCTATTTCATAATGCTGGAATTAACTACTGCTATGCATAAAACCACAGTTACGAAATTGGGGATTGGGGAAATAATATGGAAATGTATAATAATCTAAAAATCATCCTAGAAGAGTAACAGGGTAATTCAGCTTTCAAATCCATAATTTGATTCAGCAAAATCCATCATCAACCCCTTATTTTTCAAATTCAAATATTTGATTAAGACTTCTATTTTTCTAATCCCACAAGCAAAATGCTCCTTAATAAGGCCTCATTGGAACCCAAGATCATAAAGATTTTATTATGACAATATATGGAGGATATATCATGTAAAATACAATATTTTTTACTTGAATTGAGCCCACAGTGCATACATTGGAAATAAATTATATATTTCTTATACATAATAAACAATGTAATATCTATAATTTATAATCCATACATTCTTTATATTTTCCAAACAGCAATTTTTTTGGAAACATAAATTCTTATTAATGCATACACTACAGAAATTCACAATATCTCCAAGCAAAGTTCTAAACCAACCTATAGTGTTTTGATGTTTGGAGATGTATACTTGTATTACCTTTGGGTTAGGTTTGACAATTGACAACATTGTTGTCACGCCAGTGGATGGTTCAATTTGGTTATAGTTAATGTCGGTTATGGAACCGGTTGGAATAACACCGGTATGACCGACATGATAGATTTTCAAACTTTAAATAAAATGATGATATTTTAGTGAATTTAATTAAAAAAATACTATTTTATGATTTATTTCATCCATTTGAAAATTAAATGATGATGTTATTTGTTGGTTTCAAGTATAAATGTTTGAGTGTTGACAATTTTAGGGGTGTTCAAATGGTTACTATGATAATTATCAAACCAAACAAGTCTAAATTCTATTAATCATGAAATACAATATCATAGCCAAACGGTCCAAACTAATGCAACAACAAAATTAACCAAAGTAAAGTTTAATCGATTTGGTTAATTGGTTAATTAGATTAACCAATAGAATATCACATTATTAGAATTTTTTCGATTAATACATCAATTCACAATTTATATAATGGATAAACATAACAATCAACACATAGTTATAGTTAACCCTTACATAAATACATGCAACTAATACTAATACAATTATCTTACAGTCAATAGAAGTATTCGCTTAACAAAAATTTATGCAATGGTATGGAGTTAATGAACTGTTGGGTTTCTGTGAATTGATTTAGTCTTTTAACAATTATCATAGACTGAAAAAGATATTGTTTTCAAGTTTTAATCCAACATAATGCATGAGTTTTATCTGAATTAGGCTTTCATATATTGTGGTCTACACTCTACAAATACAAATATACCGTATATGAACAATATTGAGTTTTTATCTTTTATAAGCCTAAAAAGGAGAAACGTTTGACTCTTGAGTGGTTAAGCAAATTATTAAGTATGTATATATAATATATATTAGATGTATGACTAATATTAACTGGTTAATTTGGTTTGATTGGTTAGAAGTGTCGAACCAAATCACAAAAACCAAACAAGCTAAAAAATTAACCAAACCAAACCAATTATCCAAATTAACCAAATTAAGTTATCCAAATACTACCGGTTAAAACGGTTACCACGTTAATCACTCCGTTTGAACACCCCTAGTTGACATTAAATGTTGTTGTTGATGTCGGGGTTGTAGTTGACGTCGAGTTTTTTTAATGTTGTGCAACGGAGTCGGCCGACGGCCACCTTTCACCTCGAACTACTCTCTTGATGTCAGCTCCGGTCGTCTCCTGTAAAAATGATCCACCAGCCGATCTCGTCGAGTACACTCTCCGACGCTCAAGTTAGTGAGTGGTTTGAGGGAAGAGGATTATGACCTTGAAAAGAAACATGAGGGAATGGGATTGAGAACAAATGTATGTGCTTAGGAGTTGAAATTGGGGCAGATTGGGCTGCCACCAATGAATATGTGGTTCACAACACGACTATAGTGGTATTCTATTGTGTTAAATGCAATTTTGTATATCTTATTCAACGTGGGGATTTTGTCTTTCCGATTTTGGTATTCTACCTTTGTGTCAGAGAGTGAAAGAGACTATAGTAGTTTTTGCTTTACGAAAAGCAAATTAATCTTACACGACACACCCTATAAGTTTGCATTTTGACATTGAGTTATTTTAACCTTTTACGAAATTAGTCATTACTCCTTATATCATAAACTATTAATAATAAGCATGATGGACTTAAATGTAAAGTAATGGTTGTTATACTGATGTGGGTATAGTGGATTTTATGGTTAACCACTGGGGTTAGTGACCACAAAAATTAGGATTTTGCTAACCACACCCAACCCATTACCCACAAATTATGGGTTTGGTTAACCACAATGTGTGCAGTTTGGTGCGGTTTGTGGGTTATCCACAAACCAAACTTCCACCTTATACTTCGCTAATCATAGCGAGAGTTCACGGGTCTTGGCATTTGGGATTTTTTTCCTTACCTTAATCTAGAAACGAAATGGCCTTTATTAAAGGCCTCCAGGCAAACATGAAGAGGATACATGTCTCCATCTAGAGCTTGGTGCTATATGAAGAGAGGACACGTCACGGGGGCATGTGGGCAAGGGTGCTGAGTGACCTGGTGTGAGTGACCCCAGGGGTGGCCGGAGTGAGTCCAAGTTGGTCGAGGTGACCTGGGGTGGTTGACCACGAGGGTGGCCGAGGTGTCCTGAGGTAATTGACCCCGGGGGGGGGGTTACTTCGGGTTGGTTGAGGTGACCCAATGTGATTGACTCTGGGATGGTCGGAATGACCCCGGGGTGACTAAGGTTACCTGAGCTGATTGACCCCGCGGGCCCGGAGCGACCCCGTGGTGGCCCGAGCTTATTGACCCTAGAGTAGCCAAAGTGACCCCAAAATGACCAATGCGACCCAATGTGATTGACCTCGGGGAGCAGGAGTGACCTTGGTGTGATTGACCCCCGGAGTGACCCCGAGGTGACTGAGGTGAAGTTGATTGATCCCGCGGGTGTTAGAGTGATGTCGGGGTGGCCGAGGTGACCTCATCGGGATTGACCACGGGGGTGGCCTGATTGACCCCAAGGTGGCCAAGGTGATTGATCCTAGAGGTGCTGGAGCTACCCCAGGGTGATCGAGGTGATTGACCCCAGAGTGGCCGGAGTGACCCCAAGGTGGCCAAGGTGACTTGAGATGGCCGGAACGACCCCATGGTGGTCAAGGTGACCCAAAGTGATTGACCCGGGGGTGATTATGGGGTAGCTGAGATGACCCAAGAAGATTGACACGGGGGTGATCGGAGTGACCCCAAGGTGTCCGATCCGAGGCAACCCGGGGTGATTGACCTAGAGGGGGGGTGGCCGGAGTGACTTCAAGGTGACTTGAGGTGATTGACCTAGAGGGTGCCGGAGTGACCTCGAGGTGGGCGACATGATTGACCCCGGGGTGGTCGGAATGACACCAAGGTGACTTGGGGTGATTGACCCCGGGGTGATCCCAAGGTGGTCGAGGTGACCCGAGGGTGAGATCTCGGGGTAGGGATGGCAATTTCGACCTGACATGTTTGACCTGTTTTGGGGCGGGTCAAACCCGCCCCGTAGGCGGGGCGGGGTGGGCATGGGTACCTCTCATCGACCCGACCTGCCCTGACCCGCCCAATTCTGGACCCGTTCTTGCCTAAATTACATATAATCTTAGTCAAATTACTTAAGATTTTCCTCTTATTGCATTATATTTTAGCTATAATAAAGTTGTAAATAAGTGAAAACCTCAATTTCTTCAGTAATTTAACTACATTTTATCATATTATGGTTTCTTTCTTGGTCTTTCAATGAAAAGAATGAATATTTCTAATGTTTCACATAAATTACATACCCAATGGGTCGACCTGCCCCGACCCGCGCCCAGTGATAAATTATCAGACCTGAACCCGACCTGCCATGGGGCGGGTATCTCGATACCTGCCCCATTGTCATTCCTACCTCGGGGTGACTAGAATGACCTTGGGGTAACCAAATGGTGAGCTTATCTCAGTTTAATAAAATAAAATTTTATTTAGGGCCCACCAGTTATGTGTATCTTAGTATTTTTTTCATTTTTTTGGAATGTTGTATTTTATTTAAATATATAAGTAGATTGTCTTCAATATATTTTATATGTGCTGAAATTAGTTTGATGTTAATAATTTTCACAGTTCTACATATTTTGTTAACTCAACATGATTTGATATAAACTGATTATGTCCAGTCGAATCATATCACTTGTTAAATCGGCGCAACGGTATAAATTGGTTTGATAACTTCGATGACACTATTAGCAGTAAAACTAAGCGAACCAGTAACCATAACCGGTCTTGTGCAGCGGGTTCAATTGAGATCCAGTACCGGCCCGGTTCTGCCCTAACCCGCAAAGTAATCGGGGTTTGGGATCCATTTTGGTAACAACATCAGAAGATTTGCTCGCTGAGTCCTTTTACCCGTCCTTGCTTCCAAGCCGAGGGCAATTTTCGATCCGCTTCACGATCTCTTACCTTACCTTACCTCCGTCCTACTAGCTCATCGGATTCTCTCCTGTAGACATGGCGATGGCTACACTAGCTGCAGCTCGTCGAGTCGCTGCTCTCGGCCGAGTTTCATCCCCCGCCACATCCGTTCAGGCTGCGTCTCTCGTTCCCCGCCGCGGCCTCGCCGGCGCTGCAGGTAATCTCTACCCCCATGAAGCTTCCGTCTTTGAATATACCATTATTATTGTGCATATATAGATCCAAGAATGAGAAAAATTTTAATTCGCTGTTAGATGCATTTCCCGGTTCGTTTACCGTGCGTTTGGTCGTTGAGAAAAAGAAATTGAAATGAACGGGTTGTCTGTCTAGGGCATATTTTCAGCATTACTATCGAGGTTGGGCGAATTGAAAAAAGAAGGGGGAAAAAGAAGCTACGGGGGCTCTGATTCTTTTGTGTGTTTGTTTGGCAGATCACCATGGGCCACCGAAGGTGAACTGTTGGAGCCAACCAACGAATCCAGCTCAGTGGAAGGAAGAGCACGTAAGTTTTTTGAACCGTTCACCATTTGGCTTTTCATTCTGAATTTTGTACGTTGTGTTGCTAGAGTTTGTCTGGTGAAAGTTTGCTTCTTTAGGCTTGACTTCCGAGTTGGGTTGAAGGGTATAACACCCAGCTTGAATTCTCTGCTAGGAGAAAGGCAAATGTGAGTCTGATAGAGCATTCATCGGTTGACGAGAGAAACTGTACTGATTCTTTTTTATGATTTCCTTTCCTTGCAGTTTGTAATTGTCTCTCTCACTGGTTGGGCTCTCCTTATTGGTGGTAGCTACAAGTTCTTCACCAAAGGCAAGAAGGAAGAGGTAACTTTACTCTTGCCTTCAAATGTGAGAGTTGATTTAGTCTTTTACAATGTGGGTGTTGATGTCGACCTAAAAGCAACGTTCTTCTTTTCTCTTTGATGTAATGTGTGTGTTTTGGGTCAAATTTTATGAACCTAATTGTTGTCTTTACCTTTGGATTTGAGGTCATGATTAGTCAGTTAACTTCTGCAGTTTTAACAGTAGCTTTAGAAAGCATGGCAGCTTGAATTAACTGCCTGGATTTTATCCATCGTAACCTGTTTGTCCTACATAGTTCAACATACTGAGATGATCTGTTGAAAGTTGGAGAGACTTCCCATTTCCATTTCTTACCTTCGAGCTTGTAATTTAATATGTCGCTCCCCCTTTCTGTTCTCCTCTTTTCTGTCCTTGTGTAATGTTGTTGTTCTTGTTCTCTTTACAATTTCCAGTCCACATAATGGGAAAACAAGAGAACAATGTCTATCACTGCATCCCTTTCTTTACATTTAGCACGTAATTTTCTTTTTGAAAACCTGTTCCAAGAGATGTCTTCCTGCAGTCATTCGCACCGCCTTATATGTTAGAAACATTTAGATACAGACGCCTTGTGGCGTGGTGCAATGCCCTTCTGATATGCTTGAACTATTAGGCCAAATGATAAGAAGCACGTTGAACTCTTGTTTTCTGGTTGATTTTATTGTGTCCATTCTGCTCATCAGGCGACACTATTAAATGTTTTGCACCATGTCCAATTTGCGGAAACTTAGGCTATTAACAGTCAGTTGTACTTGTACAGATTAAGATCGTGGCATCCTCAACATATTTGTATCATTGTATGGTTGTTTTCCTATCTTGTTTTGTGTTTCCCTAACACACGATTTTTCTCTTCCCAGTTGGTAGAAGCAAAGCACTGAGGTCCATACCCTTCTCTCCTGTGGTTCCTGGTAATAAAATGGATTCAGTTGGCCTTCGCTGAGGATTCAGCCTGCTGTTTGTCACTCATTGTTTTCTTAGAACAGATGATTATATTAAGAGTGGAAAATGTTTAATCTCCTTTGGAGAGATGGATAATAAACCCTTCGCAGTTTGATGCTTCACAGTTCATATTTTGACGACTGTTCTGAATTTATCTTTGCTTGAGTAGAAGGTATTTCCAACGCCAATGAAAGTACAGGTTTTTTCCGGTTTCGAAGTTTAAAGCTTGGAGACTGCTTTTGTTCTCAATGAACATAACAAGTGGTCATTATTTTATCCAGAAACCCATCCAAAAACTTGGTTAGAAATACAGCAACGACAGGAGCAGGGAAATTCACTGATTCCCTCTCCACTTGAAATTTCAGAGACTAACACCTCTTCTAAAGAGATCTCATTCGGTCAGAACTCAGATGGGTCTGTTTCGTCTTTGTACTCGTCTCTTTGTTGCTCCGATGAATCTGAAACTGACTCTGATTCCTTTTTGTAGATAGAATCTGCATTATTGTCATTACTTGAGGTTCTATCCATGGCGACTCCATCAGTCTGAGATACGTCATTGCCTTCCTCCAGCTTGAAAGTACCTTTGCTTAATCTGTCGTCCCTTTTCCCTGAACTGTTTTCTGAGTTTTCTGGCTTTGATAATTGAGCACCCGAAGAATCCCCTGACTCATTTACTGCTGCTATTTCCTTCATGGTCGAAGTAGTACTTCTCTTGCCCCCTTCACCTTCACCGTCTTCTTCGTTGTCATCTTCATTGCTCATCTTGTTGTTCCCCAACCATCTGTTTCTAGCACCCACCCTCCACTTCTTTCCTCTGGCCTTTCTCGAGTGGACATGTTTCGTTTTCCTTGCAGCTTCTCCTGGAGAAGTAGTTCCATTGCTTCCAGCTACAGAGGCAGGCAATAATCCTTCTTCTCTTGACAACTTCCTCCTATTATCACTTCCATTATTCCCAACCATGGCATTCTCCCCATCAGATAGCTTCCTAGACGCTTCATCCTTCTTCTCCTGACCTACTGCTACTACTGCATCATCTGCCGTCTTTGTCCCATTGGTGGAAAGAGGTTTTGATGAAGGATCCTCATCCGAACCCGCTGACCAGACCTTGACTGGGTTCTCGACCCCACGATGTTGATGATGACGATGACGATGCTTCTTCAACTCCAGATTTTCAGCTTCCTTCTGCTTCAGACTCTCAGCAACTTGGGGATTACTTTTCTTGTCTCCATCGTCTGCGGGAGTTGCATCCCTTCTCAGCAACTTGATCTCGCTCTGCTTCTCCTCGAGAGCAATCTCCAAGGCCTTCCCTTCGTCTTTTAGGGAATCGATGCTGGATTGCAGCTCCACCACTCTCCTCTCAAGCTCCATCTTCTCGGTCGTCACTTTCTGGAGCGCTGCTGTCATGTCCTCTGCTTTTCTCTTCATTTCACTGCTCTGCTCTCTCTCCTTCTGCAAATATGAGAAAAACAGCAAAGCTGGTTGTTTATTATGAAGGGTTAAGTCAACACTAAGTAAAGCCAAAAAGAGGCTTGAGCTACTTCGTCTCCACAAATCTCTTCTGGTTTCATTTTGGTTCACAAATTCCAGGGAGAATGGGAGCAAGGGTGTGGTTTACCTGCAGGAGAAGGTGAAGGGAGAAGAGCTGTTGTTCTTTGTCAGTGACAAGGAGATTGAAGATGCGCCTTTCTCTGAGCTTGTGAACCACTAGAACTCCAAGCAAAGCAGCACCAAATGCGATCAGCAGCATTACCCCATACGGCCTCCCTCTGTTGCTGTTCCCGCCATTGCTGCTGCTACCGTTGAAGTTCCCCTTGATTGCCATTTCCTCTCTCTCTCTCTCTCTCTCTCTGTTTGCCCTTTGAAGATCAAGAGTTAGTTCAGTTTTATGGGAGTTTATGTATAGGCCTTATAGTTAGTGAGAAAGAGAGAGGAGTGAGATAGAGTTTGCTGAAATGTAGGCTTTGTCATGTTAAAAGAGCAAGCTATCTACTCCTCTATTGCTGAGCTTTCTCTCTCCTGAGTCACAACACATGCACACTCCATCTACAATGCACACTCCATCTACAGAGTACAGAGAGAGAGAGAGAGAGAGAGGGAGTGTTGTGTATAAGAAGTAGAAGGGCTCAGCCATTTTTTTTCTGCTGATAAAGTGATAATAATATATTTCATAACGTAGAAGTTTGGAGCAAGATGGTCTACTTTTTTTCCCCCTTCCATTTTCCAGGCGCTGAATCTGGAGACCACCTTTTGGATTTTGGCTTCATTTCCAAGCTTCATTTTTTGGCATTTTCCCCCCTTCTTCTCCTTTCTCTTCGGGGAAGATAGTTTTAATGTGTGCCGCCGACCTAAAACCCTACTCGCCAGAAATAGTTAATCCTAGGCGTCTAGGCCAATGGAGTACAAGTGCCATTTATACCAAAACAAACGACTCATAATTAAATGGAAATGCGAGAGTCTAAACAAGATAAGCTTAACTTCAATATTGAGATTAATTATTTTTCGGTAGAACTAGGGTGTTTTTACTAATACTTAACAAGTTCACATATTTCCTATCTATATCCACAGCAACATCACTTTTCCTTCTTCCTTAGGGCATTCGGCCGCATCAATGCACGACTTCCCCTCAAAGAGATTACGATACAAGGACCGCATCACAATAAAGAGGTGGTTGTGTGAAAAATGTATTTATAGTCCAGGTTAGACGTCATCAAGTGGCAGAAAATTATACTGATCAATAAAGAAACGTACTGCAGTTTTCATCGTAACTCGAAAAAGAGTGATGAATGAGGATGGAACTCAGCTGGGTTTCCCCAATTTGAGACGCGGCAGCTCCTGCTGCATGTCGATCTTTATGCACATGGATTGGATGATTTTGGGTTCCAAGTGCAGTCATCTTTACTGCAAAGTCTTTCTACGATCTTCGATTGGCCGTTTCTCACCATTTCTTATATAGTTTCTCTTCTATGTACCTATACAAAATTCCACGATTATTCATAAAAAGAAAAATCCACGATTTTTTGGAGCGGATTTGATCCATAACTAATCATACATAATTTTGTTTCTACCTTAATAGATGATTTGAAATGCATGAAATGATTATTTTCTACCTTAGTTATGCACATAATATTTTTGAAAGTGATCGAGCTATGCATAATATGTTTAGACTTTAGACCTCCATGAAAAGAGGAAACAAATATAATATAAGCATATATAATTATTGAATGAAAAAATATATATAAATAATTTTCATTCAATACTTAATTAAACCATATAGTTGAATATTAGAGTTCCTTCTCATAATACATACATAATCAACCTTTAGAATGAAAGAAAATGTCTCATAGAATTTATTATGTCCTTTAAGTTTTTACCAATAGAGAGCATTCTTTTTTTACCACACTGTTGGTAATGAATATGAAGTTGTTTGATTTGAAATATACAGGACATGATGCTAAGCTGTCACTAATAGTTAGTTGGAAATATGTTGTGTACGGACTTCCCAAATTATTCTCAGATCGTAGACATGTCTAACAACAAAGTAGTAATTTTTATGCAACAAATATTGTTTTCATGAAATAATTCAATAAATAAAAACATATGAAAATAATATTTCTTGAAATATATGTTATTCATTAAGTTGATGAATGAGCGAGGGTATGAGTAGCATACATTTATTTTAAAAAGATAGAAGTTGCAAAGTGTCTTTTGGGTTGCATGAGATCGCATATTCTCATTATCGCTAACTGACTTATGCTTTTTTGCAATAGATAGTTCAAAATGTGCCTTAAAACTTTTGTTTCCACCAGTGTAAAAGAATTGTTTGAACCAAAGGATTGTAAAATCGTATCGAAAAAGTTGGTAGTAGAGTATTTTATATTGAAGTCATGATTTAACTGTGGTTCAATCATTTCATATTGCTAATATCACCTATCGATTTAGCCTATGATGTGAAGTTTTATGGTCTAACCGCCGGTACGTACAATCTTTCGGTACAAACTTTAAATAAAAAACCACTAAAATATTGACATTATCAAATACCCCTTAAATATCAGAAATTATAATAATAGTATTAAGAAAATCTTCCAAATGCTAATATTGATTTAGTATTTTAAATTGAAATGGAAAAAATATGTCAAATATAATGTCATCTCCTAAAATAAATCAAAACTCAACAGAATAGGGCCAAGAATATCCACTATTCAAAGGAGAAGAACAATTATTTCACACTACCTAATTTCCACCTCTTTTAAATGTTCTCTCACTCTCTCTTTGCCTTTCTCTTTGATTTTCCATTTGTTCTTCCATCTCTCTCTCTCAGTTTTGTATCTCACACCTCGCCCCCTTTTCCCTTCCTCTTTCTTCCCAGCGCTTGGAATCGAAGAAACCTACAAACATCCCAATTACTTATCCAATTTTGCATTCGAAAGACTTCTTCTCGATTCACAATCAATAGTGTGAATCAGAGCACCTGAAACCTGGGGAATGATGGTCGCTTATTCATCGACGGAGCAAAGTAGCTTGATAGCTTGTGAATAAACTGATTATTAAAAGTGATAAAAAGCAGAACTCGTTAAACCAATCGAGTGAGTGTATAGTTAGCTCATCACTTAAAGTCTTAAACCATTGTATTTATCTAAAGAATCAAAATGCATAATCAAGTTCATCTTCACTTTACATGTATTTGTCGTACAAATTCATTACACATAAAAAATGGTTTTGAACTAAAGCCATATTAAACTAAATCTCATCTTATGATTATTGGATCCATGTCAGATTAGCAAAAGGTCTAAGGCTATTGGTCAATCGGACTGAAAATTAATACTAATTTAAGAATTATATATCACTTCCAAAATGTTCAATACTCCAATTCAATATGCAATATTAAAAAAAAATTATATATGTGTTTCAACCCTTGCTCAAATTTTTTAGACAAAAAAAATCCCCCCCCTCACACACATTTGCAAAGAAATACTAAATCACAATTTCTTTTTCACTTTACTTGCTTCTAAAGTTATTGTTGACGTTGTTTGTTATTACTGCAAGTTGTAAAAAAGACTTTTCAGCTATGAAGTTAATCAAGAATGATTTTATAAATGAATTTTTAGTTGTATACAATGAAAAAGGTTTGAATTTCAAAATAAATAATGAATGTATTTTATAAACCTTTTAGAATATGAGCCGTCACACGTTGATGTGAGAAACTACTAATTAATTAAAAGTTTATATGTTATTTTTATAATATTTTGTTTTATTTTTTATCAAATGACGCATTTATCCATAAAACATATGTTCACCAATATAGGTTGTATGGTGCTCGCACTTGTGCGAGAGCCCTTGAAGTTTAAGTCTGGTACGACCCATGAAGCATTCATGCTTGTACATGGCCGATCCATATACATTGTCTTCATGGTATGCTCTAAATGTGTCGTGCTAGCTCGACCATGTGCTTAGGTATAGTTATATCCATTATAATAATTAAGTTTCTACCTTTTCACAACACCAAGATAAAAACAGTCATAAATGCACTGAGCATACGATTTTGACTACCTGATGAAATACTACATTTGAATAAATTACAAATGATGACACAAATAATAATTATACCTCTAAATCATACATAAAATATTTCAAACATAACAAATATTAAGATTAAATTAATTATTATAAAGAGTAAAAATTGTATAATGAGGTTAATTATAACTCATTTATATGTTCATGCCCTATAAATTGATCAACACATCCGATCCAAAACTAACAAAATGAACATCACATTAAACTCGATATCGTCTCATTATTGTCGGGTCCATTCAAATCTTGATTATTGTTTTTGTTTAGTGTAATTGGTTGTGATTATTGTTTTTGTTTGAAGAGACCATGGTTCAAATCTTGATATTGATACTTTTTCATATGAAGTAGATAATAATTGTGATGACAAAAATACTCTTCCTACTTTCACTCTCGCTTCACGAAATTTGAAATAGAAAATTTTAAAACATTGAATATATCTTATAGAAAGAGCTTCTTCAACCAAGTACGAAAGATATTTTACCTGAAATTATTATATCTTATAGAAAGTGATTAATTGTGAAATTGAAAGTCAAGTAACATTGATTCAAACATTAAATAATAAATTGTATGTGTGGTTCAGTTTAGACAAAATACATATGTGTAGCCAAAACATGGATCTTTGTGACAAATATAGTTATTTTTTGTCACAAATGTATACATAATATAAAGAAAATCTATAAATATAAAGATAAATTGGGCACTATGATAAAAAAGAGCCTCCTAGAATCACTCTCAGGCCACGAAATTTGAAATGTGACTCTATTTTCCAGTTTTATCATTATATTATGGTAGATTTGTCACAAAAAAATGATTATACTCGTCACAAAGGTCCATCTTTTAGTTAACTTCTTTATTTTTTCTGAACTAAACAACACATACAATTTAGGGTAAATACAATATATAAGCCACAATTATTCTGAAGCAGGGAATTATAGCCACAACTATGAAAATTCAAATTCTTAGCCAAACATTAACTCTCTGTTAAAAATTCCATTAATAATGCTGACTAAAATTTTATGTTTTAAAGTTATAAATTAAAAGCAGTCCGACGTGGTTGCTGCCGTGGTCAATGACGTGGCCTTCTCCATTAAAATCCAATAATAGTAACAGACAGTTAGCCATATCTTGACCCGCAATAATAATTATGGCTAATAATTTGAATTTACATAGTTGTGGCTATAATTCCCTGCTTCATAATAGTTGTGGTAATATATTGTATTTACCCTTCAGTTTAATATTAATGTTTGAATCAATACTACTTGAGTTCCGATTTCAGAATTAATTTCTTTTTATAAAATATAAATAGCTTAAGATAAAATATTAATATAGAAGCATCATCACCAAACATATTCCTAGAGTTCAATCAAAGAAATAAAAATAAATGAAATGTAGCCGAGTTGTTAATCATGCTCTTTCTTTATTCAAGTGACCAAAGTTCGAACTCTAATT